TTTTAACATTTCTAACCAGTTGTATGAATTCCTGTTCTAACCTGACTTCCCCATTCTTAATCCTTTTGTACCAAGCTCTCTTTTTACCTATAAGGTTCTTTAAATTATTTGTTTTCCACTTTGGGTCATTAGTATTCGACCTATTCAATTTGTATGGTATACTACGTTCCTGTGCTTTGTTTAGAATATTCTTAAATAAGTTATATATTAAATTCACATCGAAATCCCCTTTTACGTGACCTATCGCTGGGTTCATGTCTCGCTCTAAGACCGGCCCACACCCCATACCCAAGAGTTTCCAATCTATTTGACCCAAAAAATTTCTTAGGCTATTAAAATCAGCTTTTCGAAAATCTGGCACTTTAACAGAATTTTCTCCTACAGGCCTATTCCATTCTATGCTAAATCTGATTACTTTGTGATCACTGTTCCCTAGCTCACTCCCTATTTCTATGTCATTAATTTGTGTTTCCCTGTTAGTTAACACTAAATCTAAAATATTATTTTCCCGCGTTGGTTCCTTAATGTGTTGCGTAAGAAAGCAATCGTCAATTAATTCTAGAAAATCTTCTGCTTCACTATTCCCTGTTTTGTTCACCCAGTTTATTCCACTAAAATTAAAGTCACCCATGACATAAATACTGTTAGATCTAGATGCTCTAGATATTTCATTCCATAGATGCTTTGCTTCCATTCTGTCTAAATTTGGTGGCCTATATATAACTCCTATTATAATATTATTTTCTTTTTCGTTTAATTCTATCCAAATAGTTTCTGTGTGTGGCTCAGTTTTGATTCCCTCTTTGAGACTACATTTCAAATTGTCCCTAACATATATGGCTACTCCCCCTCCTCGTCTAATATATCTATCTGTGTGAAATAGTTTAAATCCATTTATCTGATATTCAGCTAATAGTTCTCTATTTTCTGCGTTCATCTACGTTTCGGTAAGTGCAATAATATCTATTTTTCCTGTGCAGACAAGAGCATTTAATTCATTAATTTTATTTCTTAGACTTCTACTGTTAGTGTAATATATTCTAAGTGATTTGTTTTTTTGAGGCCCTTTTCTTTCCCTGATCATTTTGCCAATTCTTTTCTCCCACGAACACATACTTTTATTACCTCCTTCCTCCATATCAATTCAAAAACCACTATCTACTAACAGTTTAAACCCAAAGAAACACCTCTAACCACTGGTTCCAACGAGTTCGTAACAGCAACAACCCCAGCCCTCGATAGATGCACCCCATCACGAGCATACATTTCATTTCTTCCATAGAAGCGTTCCCAGTTGTCTATGAAAGATATTGCATTTGATTTGCAATATCTTTCCAGCCGGCAATTGACACCAAGTGCCCTCGACATCCATTCATTTCCCACTCCCTTTCTTGGAAGAATGCCACATATGATCGGGATTCCTCCCTTGCTCCTAACTAATTCAATGGCTGTCCTAAATCTCTGTAATAGTTCCTCACTCCTAACTCGCCCAACATCATTACCCCCTGCACTAATACAAATAATGGGTTTGTTCCCATTTCCCGTCATAATATCATTCATGTTTTCAACAATATCACCAATTCCAGCTCCCGGATAGTAAACCCTTAATCTGTTCCTCCTATCTTTGGCCCAAAACGTTCTGTCTAAATACCTCACCTGGGAATCTCCCACAACCAAAATTCGCTTCGGTACCGCCCTAACTTTCTGAGCAGCCTGAGGGGCCTGCGCTCCGCCGTTCCTCGCTGCAGGCGCACTACAGCACTCGTCCTCCAACACGGCAAATGAATTTGCCGTCCTTAGGGCGTCTGTAGGCGGCCTTGTCAATGTCTTCTTAAGACCCCTGTCTTTCATTACTCTCCACGATGAGGTCTCGTCAACACTGGTCTCCTCCTTCGTTTCCTCTCGAAGTCTCAGCCGCCATACCTCCTCCCGCAGGGAATCCATCTCTGCTCTCAGAGCTCCAACCAAACTCACCAAATCATTAACTAATCCTTCCATTATTGCCATAATAATGTTACTCCAGAGCTCCAGCTAACACAACCTCTCACTGTGACAGCACCTGGATAGGTTAGGTAATGTTGATAGAGTTACAAGATACTAGCTAGATGGTGTTGAGATTGCGAAGTCGGATTGCGAGAGGGATCTTGGAGTTATGATTAGAAAGAAATTAAAACAAAAGGATCATTGCATAAATGTTCGTAATAAGGCAAATCGGACACTTGGATTTATTAATCGCAGCGTTAGTAACAAGACACCTGGTGTTGTTCTCATGCTATATCTTGCTCTAGTTAGGCCCCATTCAGATTATGCAGTTCAGTTTTGGTCGCCAAATTATAAAATGGATATAAATTCACTTGAACGTGTCCAGCGTAGGACGACTAAGTTAATTCCCCAAATTAGAAATCTTTCATATGAAGAAAGATTAACAAAGCTTAAGTTGCATTCACTGGAAAGGCGAAGAGTTAGGGGTGACATGATAGAGGTTTACAAGTGGGTGAATGGACATAATAAAGGGGGCATTAATAGGGTATTAAAAGTATCAACACAAGACAGAACACGAAACAATGGGTATAAATTGGATAAGTTTAGATTTAGGAAAGACTTGGGAAAATACTGGTTCAGTAACAGGGTTGTTGATTTGTGGAACCAATTGCCGCGTAACATTGTGGAGGTGGGGTCCCTCGATTGTTTCAAGCATGGGTTGGACATGTATATGAGTTGGATAGGGTGGTTATAAATAGGAGCTGCTTCGTATGGGCCACTAGGCCTTCTGCAGTTCCCTTTGTTCTTATGTTCTTACTTATAACTCCCAGACCCTTTTCGCAATTCGACTTCGCAATCTCAACACCATCTAGCACGTATCTTGTAACTCTATCATGGGGTGGGGGCCGGTCTTGGAGCGAGACATGAACCCATCGATAGGTGACGTAAATGGGGATTTCGATGTGGATTCAATGTATAACTTATTTACGAATATTCTAAACAAAGCACAGGAACGTAGTATACCATACAAATTGAATAGATCGAATACTAATGACCCAAAGTGGATAACAAAGAATTTGAAGAACCTTATAGGTAAAAAGAGAGCTTGGTACAAAAGGATTAAAAATGGGGAGGTCACTTTAGAACAGGAATTCGTACTACTGGTTAGAAATGTTAAAAAAGAGATAAGGAAAGCAAAAAGAAACTATGAAGTTCGCATAGCAGGGCAAGCAAAGACAAATCATAAAGGGTTTTTTCAGTTATATCGTACTAAGACTAGGGAAAGGATAGTTCCATTAAAAACTGAGACAGGTCAAATAACAGATAGTGATGAAGAGATGAGTAGTATTTTTAATAAATATTTTGTATCTGTATTTACTAAAGAGGAACTTAACAATATGCCTTCGGCCGAACAAGTCTATGTGGGTGGGAACGAGGACAGGTTGACGAGTTTAACAGTTACCAGGGAGGATGTTCTTAAACAAATAGTAAAACTCAAACCAAACAAATCCCCATGGCCGGATGAAGTGTTTGCCAGGGTGCTTAAAGAATGCAAAGAGGAGCTTTGTGACCCACTGTCAACCATATTTAATAAATCAATAGAGTCAGGCAGTGCCAGAGTTATGGAAAGTTGCTAATGTGATACCAATTTTTAAGAAAGGAGATAAATCACTTGCGTCAAACTACCGACCGATTAGCCTAACGTCTATTGTGGGAAAGTTACTTGAATCGATATATGGAAATAAAATCCGTCTTCATCTTGAAAAACACAAATTAATAAATGAGTCGCAATATTGTTTTACAAATTGCGGTTCATGTTTAACAAATTTGCAATCTTTTTATTCCTGCATAGTTGAGGTAGTTGACAGTGTTAAGGATTGTGATGTTGTGTACCTTAACTTTAGCAAAGCTTTTGATACAGTGCCACATGAAAGACTGATTAAATAAATAGAGGCTCATGGTATTGGAGGTGCTATATTAAGTTGGATTAGGGCATGGCTATTCCAAAGGAAACAGAGTTAGTATAAATGGGGGCTAAGTCAGAGTGGGAAAATGTTGTAAGTGGAGTGCCTCAGGGCTCTGTCCTGGGACCTCTGTTGTTTATAATATATATAAATGATTTAGATTCACGTTTGAGTAGCAACATCTGCAAATTTGCAGATGATACAAAAATCGGTAGGGAAATTAACACGGAAGAAGACTCACTATCACTTCAAGTTGACCTAAATAGGATTTTGAAATGGTCAATAGATTAGTAGATGCAATTTAATGCTGATAAATGTAAAGTTCTGAGGCTAGGTAATGACGATAGAGTTACAAGATACGAGCTTGATGGTGTTGAGATTGCAAAGTCGGATTGTGAAAGGGAGCTGGGAGTTATGATTAGTAAGAATTTAAAACAAAAGGATCAATGCATGAATGTTCATACCAAGGCAAATAGGACACTGGGATTTATTAATCGAAGCGTTGAAAGACACCTGGTGTTGTTCTTCACCTATGTCTTGCTCTGGTTAGGTCCCATTTAGATTATGCAGTTCAGTTTTGGTCGCCATACTATAGAATGGATATAAATTCATTTGAACGTGTCCAGCGTAGGATGACTAAGTTAATTCCCCAAATTAGAAATCTTTCATATGAAGAAACATTAACAAAGCTTAAATTGCATTCACGGGATAGGCGAAGAGTTAGGGGTGACATGATAGAGGTTTGCAAGTGGATGAATGGACATAACAAAGGAGATATTAATAGGGTATTAAAAATATCACACAGTAGTTTGGTTTATAAAATGTACAAATCATCTAAATCTTTATTTTCTGTGATTCTTAATTATTTTCAAGATAACATACATACGTCTTACCGAAGAATGTTTTCATCTATACAAAACATCCTTTGTTACCTCGTGTATTCACGTTGGATAAATCTCTCCTCGCACTCCAGACACCCATTAAGTGTATCACCCGTATACATCATCCTGTGTTTGTTCATAGTTCCACGCTGGCTGAATCTTTATGAGACAACTAACGAGTGCCGTTAAGTATTTCACTTGTATGCGCCCTTCTGTGTCTGTTCATAGTTCCACGTTGGCTGAATCTTTTTCCACACTGTGGACATTCGTAAGGTTTTTCACCTGTGTGCACCAACCAGTGAGTCTTCAGATTTCCTAGTCGACAAAACCTTTCTTCACACTCAGGACACTCGTAAGGCTTATCACCCGTGTGTACCTTCCTGTGTCTGTTCAGAGTTCCACTCTGTGTGAATCTTTGCCCACACTCTGGACACTCATGAGGTTTTTCACCTGTATGCACCATCATATGAATCTTCAGATTTCCTTGTTGATTGAATCTTTTCCTACACTTATTACACCCATATGATTTATCACCCGTTTGCATTCTAGAAATACAAAGAGTTTTATGCAGTGTTAGCCTGCAAAGTAGCTCTTGAAAGGATAAGGCTGAATAAGCTGCCTGAGAAGAGTTGTGATATATTCCGTAGCACTTGTTCGAAGCTGGATTATATAAGGGATGGGCGGTCTTCAGTACTGAAAACAGGTGAGGGGATGTGGGTGACATGAGATGGAAATACTTTGTCACAGGAGTAAGGTGTTGCTGCTGACAGTGATCTTCTGATTAGCTCCTATTCATATTCTCCCAATCTCATTCATATATATGTCCAACACATGTTTGAAACGACCAAGGGACCCCCACTTATATTATGTTATCTATTATACCCTGTGAGTATCAGTATTTTCTGATTTAAGGGGGCATTTGGTTCCAAAAATGCAATATATGAAAACTCGTTCGATTTCAATCAAACTTTTTTGACAAGTTCTACATGAAAAGTGTTTCATCTGGTCCAAGTTTCAGCATCGTAGCATAAATAGGAAGGGAGAAAAAAAATATTGAAGTAGTCGTGAAAATTATGCCAAAATGGTCAAAATCGATTATCAATCAAAAGTGTCAACTAAAATCATATCTATGACTCTTTGCTATCACAATAGCATATATTAAACAAATATTATAATTAGTTTAATTGGAAAAAATTTTTAAGAAAAAAAAATGTATTTTTTTTTTTCAAATTCTTTTTTTTTCACTTTTGCATCAAATTTACACACCTGATTGTACGTAAGCCAGTCTGTAAGGATGCCAATTTTGGAGAAAATTGGTTGATGTCAACCTCAGCCACAGATTTTAGAACCTTAGACTTTATTATTTTTGTTTTCAATTCAGATTCAGATTCAGATTCAGATGTTTATTCAGGTAAGGTATATACATACAAGTGATGTTACATTAATGGATTGATATATAGATAGAGCTAGTACATACAATGCCTAAAGCCACTATTACGCAATGCGTTTCGGGCAAGAAAAACATTAATATCAAGAACTTAATACTAATTGAGCATAAAGAATAAAAGATGTTGAGAACAAATACAAATAAAGATAAAAAAAAAGGGGGAACATGACTGAAAAAGCAGCACAAATGTTTAATTGACACAAATGTTTACAAAACTGATTCATTTTTTATTCAATTTACATGAAACTTACACAGTATATTTGGAGGGCATAAGAACATAAGAACATAAGAACAAAGGCAACTGCAGAAGGCCTATTGGCCCATACGAGGCAGCTCCTATTCTATAACCACCCAATCCCACTCATATACTTGTCCAACCCGTGCTTGAAACAATCGAGGGACCCCACCTCCACAATGTTACGCGGCAATTGGTTCCACAAATCAACAACCCTGTTACTGAACCAGTATTTACCCAAGTCTTTCCTAAATCTAAACTTATCCAATTTATATCCATTGTTTCGTGTTCTGTCCTGTGTTGATACTTTTAATACCCTATTAATATCCCCCCGGTTATGTCCATTCATCCACTTGTAAACCTCTATCATGTCACCCCTAACTCTTCGCCTTTCCAGTGAATGCAACTTAAGCTTTGTTAATCTTTCTTCATATGAAAGGTTTCTAATTTGGGGAATTAACTTAGTCATCCTACGCTGGACACGTTCAAGTGAATTTATATCCATTCTATAATATGGCGACCAAAACTGAACTGCATAATCTAAATGGGGCCTAACTAGAGCAAGATATAGCTTGAGAACCACACCAGGTGTCTTGTTACTAACGCTGCGATTAATAAATCCAAGTGTCCGATTTGCCTTATTACGAACATTTATGCATTGATCCTTTTGTTTTAAATTCTTACTAATCATAACTCCCAGATCCCTTTCGCAATCCGACTTCGCAATCACAACACCATCTAGCTCGTATCTTGTAACTCTATCATCATTACCTAACCTCAGAACTTTACATTTATCAGCATTAAACTGCATCTGCCAATCCTTTGACCATTTCAAAACCCTATCTAGATCAACTTGAAGTGATAGTGAGTCCTCCTCCGAATTAATTTCCCTACCGATTTTCGTATCATCGGCAAATTTGCAAATGTTGCTACTCAAACCTGAATCTAAATCATTTATATATATTATAAACAACAGAGGTCCCAGGACAGAGCCTTGAGGCACTCCACTTACAACATTTTCCCACTCTGACTTGATTCCATTTATACTAACTCTCTGTTTCCTTTGGTATAGCCATGCCCTAATCCAGCTTAATATAGCACCCCCAATACCATGAGACTCTATTTTTTAATCAGTCTTTCATGTGGCACTGTATCAAAAGCTTTGCTAAAGTCAAGGTATACAACATCGCAATCCTTACCACTATCAACTGCCTCAACAATACTAGAATAAAAAGATAACAAATTTGTTAAACATGAACGGCCATTTATAAAACCATGTTGCGACTCAATTATTAATTTATGTTTTTCAAGATGAAGACGAATTTTATTTGCTATTATAGATTCGAGTAACTTTCCCACAATAGACGTTAGGCTAATTGGTCGATAGTTAGACGCAAGTGATCTATCTCCTTTCTTGAAAACTGGTATCACATTAGCAACTTTCCAAAACTCTGGCAATCTGCCTGACTCTATTGATTTATTAAATATGGTTGACAGTGGGTCACAAAGCTCCTCTTTGCATTCTTTAAGCACCCTAGCAAACACTTCATCCGGCCCTGGGGATTTGTTTGGTTTGAGTTTTACTATTTGTTTAAGAACATCCTCCCTGGTAACTGCTAAACTCGTCAACCTGTCCTCGTCCCCACCCACATAGACTTGTTCGGCTGAAGGCATATTGTTAAGTTCCTCTTTAGTAAATACAGATACAAAATATTTATTAAAAATACTACTCATCTCTTCATCACTATCTGTTATTTGACCTGTCTCAGTTTTTAATGGACCTATCCTTTCCCTAGTCTTAGTACGATATAACTGAAAAAACCCTTTAGGATTTGTCTTTGCTTGCCCTGCTATGCGAACTTCATAGTTTCTTTTTGCTTTCCTTATCTCTTTTTTAACATTTCCAACCAGTTGTACGAATTCCTGTTCTAAAGTGACCTCCCCATTTTTAATCCTTTTGTACCAAGCTCTCTTTTTACCTATAAGGTTCTTCAAATTCTTTGTTATCCACTTTGGGTCATTAGTATACGATCTATTCAATTTGTATGGTATACTACGTTCCTGTGCTTTGTTTAGAATATTCTTAAATAAGTTATATATTGAATCCACATCGAAATCCCCATTTAAGTCACCTATCGCTGGGTTCATGTCTCGCTCCAAGACCGGCCCACACCCCATACCCAAGCCTTTCCAATCAATTTGACCCAAAAAATTTCTTAGGCTATTAAAATCAGCTTTTCGAAAATCTGGCACTTTAACATAATTTTCTCCTACTGGTCTATTCCATTCTATGCTAAATCTGATTTCTTTGTGATAACTGCTCCCTAGCTCACTCCCTATTTCGATGTCATTAATTTGCGTTTCCCTGTTAGTTAACACTAAATCTAAAATATTATTTTCCCGCATCTCTCTACATTGGTGAGATTTCATTTTTCTCTAAGTTCATTTATTGATTTTATAATAGCAATAAACATGCCATATTTGCATAATTTTTGGGGGGAACTTTGAACATTTGTATTAGGAAAACTAAAGATGTTTTGGAAATTCTCTATCTCAGGGTCCTTTATTATATGCTAATGTGTCAGAAAATTGTCACAGAAAAATTATATCTGAAACGTGTGTTCTGAAGTGTAGACTTGAAAATGTGTAAAAAACGTTGAAAAAAAAAATCTTCCTTTCTATTTACGCTGCAGTACTGAAACTTGGGCCAATTTCAGCACTTTTCATATACAACTAGTCAAATAATATTGGTTGACATTGAACAACTTTTCCTACACCAACCTAATGCCCCCTTATATTATGTTATCTATTATACCCTGTGAGTATCAGTATTTTCTGATAGTTAACAGTATACTGCAAAGCAGCTTGTCTGAAAACTACATTGTGTTGTACACGGCGAAGCTGGCATGTCTGGCAACCACGAAGTTCTAAATATTGTGAAATTAGTTGTCTGGTAAACCAAGAGGTCAGGTACACTGTGATGTTGGTTTACCTGGCAACCACATGTTCATGTAACCTGTAGACACCCTTGTCTGGCAGTCACATTCTCAGGTATACTGTGGAGTTGTCAGTCTAACAACCTGCGAACATAACCAGACCTTATAACCTGTTCCTATAACATAACTAATAACTAGAAGTTATAACCAGCAGTAATTATCAGCCCAAATAACTTGTAACATTCTTGTTTGTTTGCCTTTGGCAATATTTTGCTGTAACAGCCTGCAGAAATTGCCTATGATAATTACTACATTAACATCCTTCAATGATAACTACATAAGAATAAAGAGAACTGCAGAAGGCCTATTGGCCCATACGAGGCAGCTCTTATCCATAACCACCCAATCCCACTCATAAACATGTCCAACCCACGCTTGAAACAATTGAGGGACTCCACCTCCACCACGTTACGCGGTAATTGATTCCACAAATCAACAACAATTAATAGTTCTCTATTTTCTACATTCATCCACGTTTCGGTAATTGCAATAATATCTATTTTTTCTGTACAGACAAGAGAATTTAATTCGTTTATTTTGTTTCTTAGACTTCTACTGTTAGTTTAATATACCCTATGTGTATTGTTATTTAGAGGCCCTACTCTTTCCCTGATCATTTTACTAATTTCATTCTCCCACAAACACATTTTTTTATTACCTCCTTCCTCCATATCAATTCCCATACCACTGTCTGCTAACAGTTTAAATCAATTCCCATTGATTTAATGGGATTCCCAACTCTCAGTAACAACTTTCTGAAATAATTTTTCTCAAGAGAAATATATGTTATTGTAACCTGTATCATTTGTTTTTGAATAAAGTATAATATTTTCCATGTGAGATAGTATGAGAACAAATTATATTATGGCATCATGTTGCATAATCTTGCAGCGCCTTGTGTTTATTTTAAAATTTATTTCGTGTGTCAGGAAGTTCTATTAAAAGCTTGAATGAAGAAAAATAACCAATCATAATTATCATCCGTAAGAAACTGCAGAATTATCCTGCTGTAATAACCGCTCGTAGTGATCTCAGATAAATACCATATGTAACTTTTGCAGAAGTTTGCTGTAATAACTCGCCCTAATAACCTGCAGTCATAGCACTTCATAATAAAATGACGTAATAGCGAGCATAGATAACACTAATAATTCCAGGTAATATCCAGCACAAATTATGAAACACAAAAACATGCTGTAACACTATAATGTAATGTAACACTATAAGCTATAACTAGCTCATCGTAATTCCCCGCCTCAATAACCCGTCTTATGAACCCTAATAACCTTTTCGTAAGAACATAAGAACAAAGGCAACTGCAGAAGGCCTATTGGCCCATACGAGGCAGCTCCTATTTATAACCACCCATTCCCACTCATATACATGTCCAACCCATGTTTGAAACAATCGAGGGAACCCACCTCCACAATTTTACGCGGCAATTGGTTCCACAAATCAACAACACTAACTAACAGTAGAAGTCTAAGTAGAAGTCTAAGTAGAAGTCTAAGAAATAAAATTAACGAATTAAATGCTCTTGTCTGCACAGAAAAAATAGATATTATTGCACTTACCGAAACGTGGATGAATGTAGAAAATAGAGAACTATTAGCTGAATATCAAATATATGGATTTAAACTATTTCACACAGATAGATATATTAGACGAGGAGGTGGAGTAGCCATATATGTTAGGGACAATTTGAAATGTAGTCTCAAAGAGGGAATCAAAACAGAGCCACACACAGAAACTATTTGGATTGAATTAAACGAAAAAGCTAATAATATTATAATAGGAGTAATATATAGGCCACCAAATTTAGACAGAATGGAAGCAAAGCATCTATGGGATGAAATATCTAGAGCATCTAGATCTAACAGTATTTATGTCATGGGTGACTTTAATTTTAGCGGAATAAACTGGTTGAACAAAACAGGGAATAGTGAAGCAGAAGATTTTCTAGAATTAATTGACGATTGCTTTCTTACGCAACACATTAAGGAACCAACACGGGAAAATAATATTTTAGATTTAGTGTTAACTAACAGGGAAACGCAAATTAATGACATCGAAATAGGGAGTGAGCTAGGGAGCAGTGATCACAAAGAAATCAGATTTAGCATAGAATGGAATAGACCAGTAGGAGAAAATTCTGTTAAAGTGCCAGATTTTCGAAAAGCTGATTTTAATAGCCTTAGAAATTTTTTGGGTCAAATTGATTGGAAAGTCTTGGGTATGGGGTGTGGGCCGGTCTTGGAGCGAGACAAGAACCCAGCGATAGGTGACTTAAATGGGGATTTCGATGTGGATTCAATATATAACTTATTTAAGAATATTCTAAACAAAGCACAGGAACGTAGTATACCATACAAATTGAATAGATCGAATACTAATGACCCAAAGTGGATAACAAAGAATTTGAAGAACCTTATAGGTAAAAAGAGAGCTTGGTACAAAAGGATTAAAAATGGGGAGGTCACTTTAGAACAGGAATTCGTACAACTGGTTAGAAATGTTAAAAAAGAGATAAGGAAAGCAAAAAGAAACTATGAAGTTTGCATAGCAGGGCAAGCAAAGACAAATCCTAAAGGGTTTTTTTCAGTTATATCGTACTAAGACTAGGGAAAGGATAGGTCCATTAAAAACTGAGACAGGTCAAATAACAGATAGTGATGAAGAGATGAGTAGTATTTTTAATAAATATTTTGTATCTGTATTTACTAAAGAGGAACTTAACAATATGCCTTCAGCCGAACAAGTCTATGTGGGTGGGGACGAGGACAGGTTGACGAGTTTAGCAGTTACCAGGGAGGATGTTCTTAAACAAATAGTAAAACTCAAACCAAACAAATCCCCAGGGCCGGATGAAGTGTTTGCCAGGGTGCTTAAAGAATGCAAAGAGGAGCTTTGTGACCCACTGTCAACCATATTTAATAAATCAATAGAGTCAGGCAGAGTGCCAGAGTTTTGGAAAGTTGCTAATGTGATACCAGTTTTTAAGAAAGGAGATAGATCACTTGCGTCTAACTATCGACCAATTAGCCTAACGTCTATTGTGGGAAAGTTACTCGAATCTATAATAGCAAATAAAATTCGTCTTCATCTTGAAAAACATAAATTAATAATTGAGTCGCAACATGGTTTTATAAATGGCCGTTCATGTTTAACAAATTTGTTATCTTTTTATTCTAGCATTGTTGAGGCAGTTGATAGTGGTAAGGATTGCGATGTTGTATACCTTGACTTTAGCAAAGCTTTTGATACAGTGCCACATGAAAGACTGATTAAAAAGATAGAGTCTCATGGTATTGGGGGTGCTATATTAAGCTGAATTAGGGCATGGCTATACCAAAGGAAACAGAGAGTTAGTATAAATGGAATCATAAGAACATAAGAACAAAGGTAACTGCAGAAGGCCTATTGGCCCATACGAGGCAGCTCCTATTCTATAACCACCCAATCCCACTCATATACTTGTCCAACCCGTGCTTGAAACAATCGAGGGACCCCACCTCCACAATGTTACGCGGCAATTGGTTCCACAAATCAACAACCCTGTTACTGAACCAGTATTTACCCAAGTCTTTCCTAAATCTAAACTTATCCAATTTATATCCATTGTTTCGTGTTCTGTCCCGTGTTGATACCCTTAACACCCCATTATTATCCCCCCGGTTATGTCCATTCATCCACTTGTAAACCTCTATCATGTCACCCCTAACTCTTCGCCTTTCCAGTGAATGCAACTTAAGCTTTGTTAATCTTTCTTCATATGAAAGATTTCTAATTTGGGGAATTAACTTAGTCATCCTACGCTGGACACGTTCAAGTGAATTTATATCCATTCTATAATATGGCGACCAAAACTGAACTGCATAATCTAAATGGGGCCTAACTAGAGCAAGATATAGCTTGAGAACCACACCAGGTGTCTTGTTACTAACGCTGCGATTAATAAATCCAAGTGTCCGATTTGCCTTATTACGAACATTTATGCATTGATCCTTTTGTTTTAAATTCTTACTAATCATAACTCCCAGATCCCTTTCGCAATCCGACTTCGCAATCACAACACCATCTAGCTCGTATCTTGTAACTCTATCATCATTACCTAACCTCAGAACTTTACATTTATCAGCATTAAACTGCATCTGCCAATCCTTTGACCATTTCAAAACCCTATCTAGATCAACTTGAAGTGATAGTGAGTCCTCCTCCGAATTAATTTCCCTACCGATTTTCGTATCATCGGCAAATTTGCAAATGTTGCTACTCAAACCTGAATCTAAATCATTTATATATATTATAAACAACAGAGGTCCCAGGACAGAGCCTTGAGGCACTCCACTTACAACATTTTCCCACTCTGACTTGATTCCATTTATACTAACTCTCTGTTTCCTTTGGTATAGCCATGCCCTAATCCAGCTTAATATAGCACCCCCAATACCATGAGACTCTATTTTTTTAATCAGTCTTTCATGTGGCACTGTATCAAAAGCTTTGCTAAAGTCAAGGTATACAACATCGCAATCCTTACCACTATCAACTGCCTCAACAATGCTAGAATAAAAAGATAACAAATTTGTTAAACATGAACGGCCATTTATAAAACCATGTTGCGACTCAATTATTAATTTATGTTTTTCAAGATGAAGACGAACCTTAGTCACTTGTTATAATATCCAACCTCAATATCCTGAAAGAAAAGTAAACTGGTATAACAACCTGAAATTATAAATTTAATTAAAAACTTACAAGAATAGCCTGTTGTAATAATATTCCTCAGTAATAACCTATATGTTTGGTTAAGAACATAAGAACAAAGGTAACTGCAGAAGGCCTATTGGCCCATACGAGGCAGCTCCTATCTATAACCACCCAATCCCACTCATATACTTGTCCAACCCGCGCTTGAAAATATCGAGCGACCCCATCTCCACCACGTTACGCGGCAATTGGTTCCACAAATCAACAACCCTGCTACCGAACCAGTATTTACCCAAGTCTTTCCTAAATCTAAACTTATCCAATTTATACCCATTGTTTCGTGTTCTCTCTTGTGTTGATACCTTTAATACCCTATTAATATCCCCTTTGTTGTGTACATTCATCCACTTGTAAACCTCTACCATGTCACCCCCAACTCTTCGCCTTTCCAGTGAATGCAATTTAAGCTTTAATAATCTTTCTTCATATGAAAGATTTCCAGTTTGGGGAATTAACTTAGTCATCCTACGCTGGACACGTTCAAGTGAATTTATATCCATTCTATAGTACGACGACCAAAACTGTACTGCATAATCTAAATGGGGCCTAACCAGAGCAAAATATAGATGAAGAACAACACCAGGTGTCTTGTTACTAACGCTTCTATTAATAAATCCCAGTGTCCTATTTGTCTTAATACGAACAATTATGCATTGGTCCTTTTGTTTTAAATTCTTGAAAAACATAAATTAATAATTGAGTGCAACATGGTTTTATAAATGGCCGATCATGTTTAACAAATTTGTTATCTTTTAAGGGGGCATATCATTCTAAATCGTTATAAATTAAAAGTTGTTCAATTTGCTTATAAATTTTTTTATGAAATGGTTATAGAAAGGGCTGCAACTGGTCCAGGTTTCACCATCACACCCTAAACAGAAAAGGAGAAAAAAATACACAACGTATTATGCAACGAATGTTCAACATTCTCAAATAATCTCAGGGAACACATGTGTCAACTAAAATGTCTACTATGTGCTGTAGAAGCACAAACTCTTGTAATAATTGTAATATGTATGTGCAATATATTTATATTTAAATTTTTTTTTTTCTTTTTTTTTTTTTGCCAATATTTTTTTCTCGTTTGTTATCAAAGGATTTGCATGAAACTTGCACACCTTGCTCAATTGATGGCTATCTGCAAGGGTGCCAATTATGAACGAAATCTGTCGAAGTCAAGCTCAGCTACAGGTGGCCGAACTTGGATCTTTATTTTACTCTGGAAAGTAATTTACACCTTCAAATTACTTCAGAGCTTTCATTTATAAATCAATTTACATGCAAATTACACCTTATATGTAGCGTTTGTGCTTCTACAGAATCTAGTAGACATTTTAGTCCAAAGTCTATTTGTTGATTTTATAAAAATTTATACATATCATATATTGCATATTTTTTTAGCAGGGTAACTTTGAAAAATTATATTATTGCACTAAACACCTTTTTGATAAATCTGATCACTAGAATCCTTTATTATGTGCTTAATTTAATATCTGAGTGTTATAGAAATGATTTTAGTTGACACATGTGTTCCCTGAAACTATTTGAAAATTCGTTGCATAATTCGTTGTTTATTTTTTTCTCCTTTTATGTTTAGGGTGTGATGATGAAACTTGGACCAGCTGCAGCCCTTTCTATAACCATTTCATAAAAAAATTAATAAGCAAATTGAACCACTTTTAATTTTACATTGATATGCCCCCTTAATTCTAGCATTATTGAGGCAGGTGATAGTGGTAAGGATTGCGATGTTGTGTACTTTGACTTTAGCAAAGCTTTTGATACAGTGCCACATGAAAGACTGATTAAACAGATAGAGTCTCATGGTATTGGGGATGCTATATTAAGCTGGATTAGGGCATGGCTATACCAAAGGAAACAGAGTTAGTATAAATGGAGTCAAGTTAGAGTGGGAAAATGTTGTAAGTAGGGTGCCTCAGGGCTCTGTCCTGGGACCTCTGTTGTTTATAATATATATAAATGATTTAGATTCAGGTTTGAATAGCAACATCTGCAAATTTGCCGATGATACGAAAATCGGTAAGGAAATTAATTCGGAGGAGGACTCACTATCACTTCAAGTTGATCTAGATAAGGTTTTGAAAAGGCCGAAGGATTGGCAGATGCAGTTTAATGCTGATAAATGTAAAGTTCTGAGGTTAGGTAATGATGATAGGGTTACAAGATACGAGCTAGATGGTGTTGAGATTGCGAAGTCGAATTGCGAAAGGGATCTGGGAGTTATGATTAGTAAGAATTTCAAACAAAAGGATCAATGCATAAATGTTCGTAATAAGGCAAATCGGACACTTGGATTTATTAATCGCAGCGTTAGTAACAAGACACCTGGTGTTGTTCTCATGCTATATCTTGCTCTAGTTAGGCCCCATTTACATTATGCAGTTCAGTTTTGGTCGCGAAATTATAGAATGGATATAAATTCACTTGAACGTGTCCAGCGTAGGATGACTAAGTTAATTCCCCAAATTAGAAATCTTTCATATGAAGAAAGATTAACAAAGCTTAAGTTGCATTCACTGGAAAGGCGAAGAGTTAGGGGTGACATGATAGAGGTTTACAAGTGGGTGAATGGACATAACAAAGGGGATATTAATAGGGTATTAAAAGTATCAACACAAGACAGAACACGAAACAATGGGTATAAATTGGATAAGTTTAGATTTAGGAAAGACTTGGGAAAATACTGGTTCAGTAACAGGGTTGTTGATTTGTGGAACCAATTGCCGCGTAACATTGTTTAGGTGGGGTCCCTCGATTGTTTCAAGCAAGCAAATCAATAGAGTCAGGCAGAGTGCCAGAGTTATGGAAAGTTGCTAATGTGATACCAGTTTTTAAGAAAGGAGATAGATCACTTGCGTCAAACTACCGACCGATTAGCCTAACGTCTATTGTGGGAAAGTTACTAGAATCGATATATGGAAATAAAATCCGTCTTCATCTTGAAAAACACAAATTAATAAATGAGTCGCAATATTGTTTTACAAATTGCGGTTCATGTTTAACAAATTTGCCATCTTTTTATTCCTGCATAGTTGAGGTAGTTGACAGTGTTAAGGACTGTGATGTTGTGTACATTAACTTTAGCAAAGCTTTTGATACAGTGCCACATGAAAGACTGATTAAATAAATAGAGGCTCATGGTATTGGAGGTGCTATATTAAGTTGGATTAGGGCATGGCTATTCCAAAGGAAACTTTGGAATAGAGTTAATATAAATGGGAGCTAAGTCAGAGTGGGAAAATGTTGTACGTGGAGTGCCTTAGGGCTCTGTCCTGGGACCTCTGTTGTTTATAATATATATTAATGATTTAGATTCACGTTTGAGTAGCAACATCTGCAAATTTGCAGATGATACAAAAATCGGTAGGGAAATTAACACGGAAGAAGACTCACTATCACTTCAAGTTGACCAAAATAGGATTTTGAAATGGTCAATAGATTAGTAGATGCAGTTTAATGCTGATAAATGTAAAGTTCTGAGGCTAGGTAATGACGATAGAGTTACAAGATACGAGCTTGATGGTGTTGAGATTGCGAAGTCGGATTGTGAGAGGGATCTGGGAGTTATGGTTAGTAAGAATTTAAAACAAAAGGATCAATGCATGAATGTTCATACCAAGGCAAATACCTGGTGTTGTTCTTCACCTATGTCATGCTTTGGTTAGGTCCCATTTAGATTATGCAGTTCAGTTTTGGTAGCCATACTATAGAATGGATATAAATTCACTTGAACGTGTCCAGCGTAGGATGACTAAGTTAATTCCCCAAATTAAAAATCTTTCATATAAAGAAAGATTAACAAAGCTTAAATTGCATTCACGGGATAGGCGAAGAGTTAGGGGTGACATGATAGAGGTTTACAAGTGGATGAATGGACATAACAAAGGAGATATTAATAGGGTATTAAAAATATCACACAGTAGTTTGGTTTATAAAATGTACAAATCATCTAAATCTTTATTTTCTGTGATTCTTAATTATTTTCAAGATAACATACATACGTCTTACCTAACAATGTTTTCATCTATACAAAACATCCTTTGTTACCTCGTGTATTCACGTTGGATAAATCTCTCCTCGCACTCCAGACACCCATTAAGTGTATCACCCGTATACATCATCCTGTGTTTGTTCATAGTTCCACACTGGCTGAATCTTTATGAGACAACTAACGAGTGCCGTTAAGTATTTCAGTTGTATGCGCCCTTCTGTGTCTGTTCATAGTTCCACGTTGGCTGAATCTTTTTCCACACTGTGGACATTCGTAAGGTTTTTCACCTGTGTGCACCAACCAGTGAGTCTTCAGATTTCCTAGTCGACAAAACCTTTCTTCACACTCAGGACACTCGTAAGGCTTATCACCCGTGTGTACCTTCCTGTGTCTGTTCAGAGTTCCACTCTGTGTGAATCTTTGCCCACACTCTGGACACTCATGAGGTTTTTCACCTGTATGCACCATCATATGAATCTTCAGATTTCCTTGTTGATTGAATCTTTTCCCACACTTATTACACCCATATGATTTATCACCCGTTTGCATTCTAGAAATACAAAGAGTTTTATGCAGTGTTAGCCTGCAAAGTAGCTCTTCAAAGGATAAGGTTGAATAAGCTGCCTGAGAAGAGTTGTGATATATTCCGTAGCACTTGTTCGAAGCTGGATTATATAAGGGATGGGCGGTCTTCAGTACTGAAAACAGGTGAGGGGATGTGGGTGACATGAGATGGAAATACTTTGTCACAGGAGTAAGGTGTTGCTGCTGACAGTGATCTTCTGATTAGCTCCTATTCATATTCTCCCAATCTCATTCATATATATGTCCAACACATGTTTGAAACGATCAAGGGACCCCCACTTATATTATGTTATCTATTATACCCTGTGAGTATCAGTATTTTCTGATTTAAGGGGGCATTAGGTTCCAAAAATGCAATAAATGAAAACTCGTTCGATTTCAATCAAACTTTTTTGACAAGTTCTATATGAAAAGTGTTTCCTCTGGTCCAAGTTTCAGCATCGTAGCGTAAATAGGAAGGGAGAAAAAAAATATTGAAGTAGTCGTGAAAATTATGCCAAAATGGTCAAAATCGATTATCAATCAAAAGTGTCAACTGAAATCTTATCTATGACTCTTTGCTATCACAATAGCATATATTAAACAAATATTATAATTAGTTTAATTGGAAAATTTTTTTAAGAAAAATGTATTTTTTTTTTTCAAATTCTTTTTTTTCACTTTTTTTTGACGATTTGCATCAAATTTACACACCTGATTGTACGTACGGCAGTCTGTAAGGATGCCAATTTTGGAGAAAATTGGTTGATGTCAACCTCAGCCACAGATTTTAGAACCTTAGACTTTATTATTTTTGTTTTTTTTTCAATTGACACAAATGTTTACAAAACTGATTCATTTTTTATTCAATTTACATGAAACTTACACAGTATATGTGGAGGGCATCTCTCTACATTGGTGACATTTCATTTTTCTCTAAGTTTATTTATTGATTTTATAATAGCAATAAACATGCCATATTTGCATAATTTTTGGGGGGAACTTTGAACATTTGTATTAGGAAAACTAAAGATGTTTTGGAAATTCTCTATCTCAGGGTCCTTTATTATATGCTAATGTGTCAGAAAATTGTCACAGAATAATTATATCTGAAACGTGTGTTCTGAAGTGTAGACTTGAAAATGTGTAAAAAACGTGGAAAAAAAAATCTCCCTTTCTATTTACGCTGCAGTACTGAAACTTGGGCCAATTTCAGCACTTTTCATATACAACTAGTCAAATAATATTGGTTGACATTGAACCACTTTTCCTACACCAACCTAATGCCCCCTTATATTATGTTATCTATTATACCCTGTGAGTATCAGTATTTTCTGATAGTTAACAGTATACTGCAAAGCAGCTTGTCTGAAAACTACATTGTGTTGTAAACGGCGAAGCTGGCATGTCTGGCAACCACGAAGTTCTAAATATTGTGAAATTAGTTGTCTGGTAAACCAAGAGGTCGGGTACACTGTGATGTTGGTTTACCTGGCAACCACATGTTCATGTAACCTGTAGACACCCTTGTCTGGCAGTCACATTCTCAGGTATACTGTGGAGTTGTCAGTCTAACAACCTGCGAACATAACCAGACCTTATAACCTGTTCCTATAACATAACTAATAACTAGAAGTTATAACCAGCAGTAATTATCAGCCCAAATAACTTGTAACATTCTTGTTTGTTTGCCTTTGGCAATATTTTGCTGTAACAGCCTGCAGAAATTGCCTATGATAATTACTATATTAACATCCTTCAATGATAACTACATAAGAATAAAGAGAACTGCAGAAGGCCTATTGGCCCATACGAGGCAGCTCTTATCCATAACCACCCAATCCCACTCATAAACATGTCCAACCCACGCTTGAAACAATTGAGGGACTCCACCTCCACCACGTTACGCGGTAATGGATTCCACAAATCAACAACATAAGAACATAAGAACATAAGAACAAAGGTAACTGCAGAAGGCCTATTGGCCCATACGAGGCAGCTCCTATTCTATAACCACCCAATCCCACTCATATACTTGTCCAACCCGTGCTTGAAACAATCGAGGGACCCCACCTCCACAATGTTACGCGGCAATTGGTTCCACAAATCAACAACCCTGTTACCGAACCAGCATTTACCCAAGTCTTTCCTAAATCTAAACTTATCCAATTTATATCCATTGTTTCGTGTTCTGTCCTGTGTTGATACTTTTAATACCCTATTAATATCCCCCCGGTTATGTCCATTCATCCACTTGTAAACCTCTATCATGTCACCCCTAACTCTTCGCCTTTCCAGTGAATGCAACTTAAGCTTTGTTAATCTTTCTTCATATGAAAGATTTCTAATTTGGGGAATTAACTTAGTCATCCTACGCTGGACACGTTCAAGTGAATTTATATCCATTCTATAATATGGCGACCAAAACTGAACTGCATAATCTAAATGGGGCCTAACTAGAGCAAGATATAGCTTGAGAACCACACCAGGTGTCTTGTTACTAACGCTGCGATTAATAAATCCAAGTGTCCGATTTGCCTTATTACGAACATTTATGCATTGATCCTTTTGTTTTAAATTCTTACTAATCATAACTCCCAGATCCCTTTCGCAATCCGACTTCGCAATCACAACACCATCTAGCTCGTATCTTGTAACTCTATCATCATTACCTAACCTCAGAACTTTACATTTATCAGCATTAAACTGCATCTGCCAATCCTTTGACCATTTCAAAACCCTATCTAGATCGACTTGAAGTGATAGCGAGTCCTCCTCCGAATTAATTTCCCTACCGATTTTCGTATCATCGGCAAATTTGCAAATGTTGCTACTCAAACCTGAATCTAAATCATTTATATATATTATAAACAACAGAGGTCCCAGGACAGAGCCTTGAGGCACTCCACTTACAACATTTTCCCACTCTGACTTGATTCCATTTATACTAACTCTCTGTTTCCTTTGGTATAGCCATGCCCTAATCCAGCTTAATATAGCACCCCCAATACCATGAGACTCTATTTTTTAATCAGTCTTTCATGTGGCACTGTATCAAAAGCTTTGCTAAAGTCAAGGTATACAACATCGCAATCCTTACCACTATCAACTGCCTCAACAATGCTAGAATAAAAAGATAACAAATTTGTTAAACATGAACGGCCATTTATAAAACCATGTTGCGACTCAATTATTAATTTATGTTTTTCAAGATGAAGACGAATTTTATTTGCTATTATAGATTCGAGTAACTTTCCCACAATAGACGTTAGGCTAATTGGTCGATAGTTAGACGCAAGTGATCTATCTC